TTTTATATATAAAAAAAGCCTAATATGCAAAATTGTCAACTCTGGAGTTCAACCGGGAGACCGGGAGTTCAATTGCTTGCTATGATGTGCGCTGACCACCAGGGGGCGAAACGTAATGAAGGAAGGCCCCAGGCGGCAGCTGGAAGGCCCAAATTGGCCCTGATCGCTGGCCAGGCCTAGAGACCCTACCCATGCATAAATTTCGTGCACCAGGCCTCTAGTCTAAAATATCAACCTGTGTGGGGTTTTTTTTCTATAAACCTGAAGGATCATGCAATGTACTTTAGGTAGTTGTGAGAGAGGTCATAAAAGATTACTATAAAGGATGCTATGAACTGTACTTCTGAATTACATGCTCTCTCTCTGAACCCACAGCTGATTCTGAGGTTATCTACCAAATACTCAGCTGTTTGTTCCCCACACCATAGAAAGCCGACACTTTCTTCAGTTTTGAGATGGTTGATAAAATTCACTGGTTCCTTCTGCAAAAGTTTGCTTTTAAAGCTTGAATAAGACATAACGTTGTCTTTAATAGTTACATAGCCTAACGTTACACAGGTTGATATTTCATCTTCTGCAAACTCTCTCAGCCCCACAAGGGCTTTCTCCCTGAGCCACAGATCCTGGCGGTTTGGCTGGGAAATGGACCAATTCCTGCCTATCCCAGGGAGAATGCCTGGACTGAGAAGGGGAAAATTAAGAAAACTTAGACATGTTGAAATGGCAACTGTTGGTGGAAGATGCTGTTAAGGTCAAGTTACAAATGATGTGCACATAGGATGAATGAGAAGAGATCCAGAACACAAGATGCTGGGCAGACAGAGTGGGAAGAGGTAACATGGGTCTGAGAAGGCTTCCAGGAAGCTCTAACACTGGTTCTCAACTTAGCTATAGACCAGGAGCCCTGGGGAGCATTTACCATCCCTGGGCTCCACCCCAGACATTCGGAATTAATTGGTCTGGGGTGGGGTCTGGGAAATGGCGCTTTTATGAACTCTCTGGTGGTTCTAATTTATATTTGGAGTTCAGAAACACCGACTATCACATTAAATCTCATCATTTGCTGGTTCTAGAAAAAAAATCTTTACACTGATGTCTTGTAAGGAAGATGAAATTGAAATACAGCACTATTTCAAAGATCAAAATTAGGAATAAATAGGGGGCACCCAGATTTGAACTGGGGACCTCTTGATCTGCAGTCAAATGCTCTACCCCTGAGCTATACCCCCTTCTGCTATAGTATGACTTAATTAATACCTTTATTCTCTATAGCCACGCCCAGATTACCTCTAAATTTATGAGTGGCCACTGTAGGTTGAACCTCTCTTGGGAGCTTTCAGACCTGCTTCGGTGAAAACTCATCAACCTGCTGTACAAGATTCAGGCTCTCTCCTCAAAGGCCTACAGCCTGTGTCCTGGGCTACAGTCACTGGGTGTGAGCAGCAACCTGGGGGAAGCACTGACATTGGCTGTTAGAATAGCCTTCAAGTCAAACGCCTGTTTGCTTGGTGGGTACCTGAAAAACAGAAACTCCACCTGATTGAGGTGTCTGTCCAAAACCATTTAATGAGACTGACATTCCATTCCGGTTACTTTCTACACAGCCTGTGTCCTGGGCTACAGTCCCTGGGTGTGAGCAGCAACCTGGGGGAAGCACTGACATTGGCTGTTAGAATAGCCTTCAAGTCAAACGCCTGTTTGCTTGGTGGGTACCTGAGAAACAGAAACTCCACCTGATTGAGGTGTCTGTCCAAAACCATTTAATGAGGCTGACATTCCATTCCGGTTACTTTCTACTGAACTACACTTCCACTTCTTCAGTTAATATAGAGAATGATCCACTCCAAGAAATACAAAGTATGTGGTTGAATAGATTTAGGAATCCCTAAAAGTGTTAACAGTCCTATGTTAAGATAATTATTTGATTTACTCATACTTTTGTTTATGGTTTAAAAATCTATGTTAAGCCCGGCTGGTGTGGCTCAGTGGTTGAGAGTTGACCTATGAACCAGGAGACCACAATTTGATTCCCGGTCAGGGCACATGCCCAGGTTGCAAGCTCCATCCCCAGTAGGGGGCATGCAGGAAGGAGCTGATCAATGATTCTCTCTCTTCATTGATGTTTCTATCTCTCTCTCCCTCTCCCTTCCTCTCTGAAATCAATAAAAAAAAATATTTTTTTAAAAAAATCTATGTTAATAAGTGAGATTGGACTATTGTTTTCTCTTCTTTTACTGTCTTTGTTATTTTTTATATCAAATTTAACTTCTATCTCTCTCTTCCTCTCCCTTCCTCTCTGAAATCAATAAAAATATATATATATTTTTTTAAAATCTATGTTAATAAGTGAGATTGGACTATTGTTTTCTCTTCTTTTACTGTCTTTGTTATTTTTTATATCAAATTTAACTAATCTCATGAGTTGGGAAAGGTACCACTTGTTTTTTATTCTCCAGAAGTGTTCACATAAGATATAAAAATAATAATTTACATTATTTCTTAAGTGTTTGGTATAACATATGTTGAAACGATCTGTGCCTGGAATAGTGTTTCTTTTTAATGGTAAAATTCTTCATTATGAATTCAATTTCTTCAGTTGTTAAGGATAATTCATGATTTTGATTTCTTCTTGTATCAATTTTGGTAAAACTAAGCCAGAGGATGGGGACATCTCTACTAGTGTAAGTGTAAAGTCAGATTTATTAGAGAGAAATTATAAGCAACACATTAGGATGTCTATAATTACCCAAATTTCCTCTATCCCAAGAAAACATGTTCTTGGGCTGGAGAATTGGATACACCCTCCTGAGTATTCCAGAAGACATTCTTCCTCTACCACAGCATATATTTACGGGGAAGTTTGGAGGAACTGCATAACAGTGGAAGCTTTTGGTAAAGGAAATGACTTCACTAGAAGACAGGAGAGTATGGAGCTTTGCCACTAATTGCATAGGAAATTGGCATACTAGGACCAGTATCAACTATAATCTTGTATTTTTCCCTTGAACCAGTTTAGTCCTGCTAAAACAACTAGAGGAGGAAGAGAGAACCAGGAACCATCTAGCAGACAAAGAATTCCTCTCTATTCAGGTAAGTTAAATTTTTCTAGGAAATTTTCCATGCCATCTCAATATTATATTAAATTGGCACAAAGTCATTCATAACATTGTCTTATGATCTTTTTAACAGCTTTGGAAATTGTAATAATATGTCCTTTTCAATTCCTTATACAGTGGGGCCTTGACTTACGAGTTTAATTCGTTCGGAGACGAGCTCGTTAAGGAGCTCGTTAACTCAAATTACTCTGTCAACTCAATGCAAAAAATCAGCCGAGAGACAGCTGGTATCTCAAAAAACTCATTAGTCAGGACACTCATAAGTCAAGGCCCCACTGTATTGGTTATTAGTGTTTTTTCTCTTCACTTTGTCAATCTTGTCTGGGTTATTTTCATTATTTGTTTCAAAGAACAATTTTTGCTTTATTGGCCCTATCTAATATATTTGTTTTCAATTTCATCAATTTATGCTTTCATCAATTAATCTTTATTATTTGCTTCCTTATTTCTTTGGGTTTGTTTTACTGTCCAGTTCATGCCTTTTGGGGATAGATGCTTAGTTAGTTAATTTTTGCCTTTTCTCTTCATAATATGTAGATACAGTAAGGCTATAAATTGCCCTCTGAGTACTGCTGTAGTTGCAACTGAACAGTTTCAATATCTAGTGTTTTCATCATGATTTAAATAAAAATATTTTATAATTCCTATTTTAATTGCAATTACTGCTTTGCTCCATCCATTATTTAGAAGTATAATTTTTAATTTCCACACATGTGGGGGTTTTCTAGTTATTTGTTGGATTTTGTAATTTTTTTAATGTTATTGATTTCTAGCTTAATTTTATTTTAGTCAGAAAGCATAGTCTTTGTGATTTAAACACTTTGGAATTTGTTAAGACTTGCTTTATGTTCAGTATGCAGTCAATTCTGTCAGTGTACCATGTGTATTTAGGAAAAAAAGGCAAGTCCTGCAATTGCTGAGTGTAAGGGTCTTTACACATTAATTAGGTCAAATTTGTTAATATATTCTATATTCTTCTGATATTATGTATGCTTGTTCTATCAATTCACAGGAGAGGGATTTTGAAATATCTCACATGATTGTGGGTATACCCACTTATCTTTTTTAATCCTGTTCATTTATATTTAATATGTTTTGAGTGTATCAAATTTAGAATTGCTATACCTTCATGGTGAATTGAACTTTTTATCACTATAAAATGACTTTCTTAAAATCCCTTTTCACCTCAAAACTATTTTGTCTGGTACTAATATAGCCACACTATGTATTATTGTCTTTAGTGTATTTTCTCTGTCCTTTTATTTTTAATATCTCTATCCTTATGTTTTATAAGTGTCTCCTGTGAACAACATATAGTTGAGTTGATGTTTTTTAATCCATGACATTCTTTGTCTTTTCACTGTGGCATTTTTTATACATTTATACTTAATATTAATACTGATAGTATTTTGGTTTAAACTTCCTACCTTCTTTGTCCTGCAAGTTCTAGTTTCTTTTTCTTTCCTTTATTGTCTCCTTTTGAGGACTCTAGGAAAAGACCCTCAGAACTGAGGCCTGAGCTCCCTGCACCCTGGCTATAACTGGTAAAACCCGCAAGTATATATTGAGCTAATGGATTCCTCTGCAGAGGGGATTACCCAAAAGATGGTTAGTGTGTGGCTGACAGAAAGTGGAACCAGGACGTACACAAGGGAACCAGTAACCTTGTCTACTCCTGAGAGTAACCTGGACTCTTTGGGTTGGGCTTTGCATAGAATAAAAAAATAAGGAGCTAAAAACATGAGCACATTTCCTGTGTTGACCTGGGTGGGGACAAGTGTATCTGGGGGAGAGCAATGCTCTCAGTGCCCACCAAAGGTGGACTTCGGAGAGGTGCAGAACCAGACCACAGCTCCAGTCAAACTACACTCCTCTCCATCACAGACCATCCGATCCCTTTGTCTGGATTGCAGCCTCATCAATGACTTCCTCACCCACTTCTGTCCCCTCACAAGACATTACCTCTGCTTAACAGAGAATGGAAGCAGCTAGACCTCAGCTCCTTGACACCTGTCTTCAGCTGTCCTTACCCTTTTTGCTTCCATCTCAGAGAAAAAAACATTCCCCTCCCACTTCCAAAGTGAACCACTCAGCCTATACTCCTGACCCATAACTGAATTCAGTTATTTCTCAATCCTGTTCCTTCCCCAGCCAAAAGCACACTAAAGTCTCTATCCTAAATTATAATAGGTTTCCCACTTTCCCCTTAGCCACTGCTGTATTTAACTTTGGACAAAAGTAATCATTATCCAACTCTACTTTCTCACATTATTCCTCATCTGATCCATCTTTATCAGCTACCAAGTCTTATCATTTTATCCTAAAATTTTCTCTGGAATTCCTTTTCTCCTCTGCATTGGGTTCCTTACTCTGTGTGCATCATTGGGCAAATTATTTAACTCTATAAGCTCCCGTTTCTTTATTTTAAGTAGGGACAAGTTTCTTGTGACAAATATGACAACTTAAGATAAATTGCCCAGCACAGTACTAGCACATAGTAAGTGCTCAAAAATATAATGCTAGTTCCTTATCCTTGTCTTTTTGGCAAATTCCATTCCCTGTAATGTCTCCTAAGTGATGTTCCCAAATAAAGGAACTGACCTTGTTGCTTCTTTGCAGTGTGCAGGGCTCCTGTTGACCACAGAACAAAGTCAGAATTCTAGCATATTCCTCACAGACTCTCTCTGATCTAATCATGTGCCTCCAACATTACGTCACAGGCACGCTCCTCCTATTGGTGGGAGACAGGCTCTTCATGGGAATTCGAGAAAAGCATTTCAAGGATCCACACACGGGAGATGGTGATATGGCAAGGTGGTTTATTGGTGATGGCTGCCCCTGAGCTTCCAACGTCCCATTTCCCTCTGTCCCGCCCTGGGAAAAGTCCAACCATGTCTTCAGCATGGCTGAAATAAAAATCAGCGAACAGAATTTCTGCTTTATAGCCCTCAGAAGCCTATGTGGTCTGTGGGCCCTGGTGACCGCTAGACCTACATGGTGCGGGTCCTGAGAAAGAGAGAGATTCATCTAAAATTATGTAGTCTCAGGCTTGGGATGAACCAGAAGTGTTTAAAAATAGCCAATCAGATTCCCAGTCTTTTGCAGGCTTCTGATGGTGTTCACACCCTGATGAATGATCCCTTTCCCAGGTTATGCAGAAACTGAGGCACAACGAGATTGAGCAATTTATCCAAGGTGACACACTCTAACACCCCAGTGGGCATCGGGGCACCTCTAACACTTAGAATCAAAACCTGGTGTTCCTGGGAACTCTGCAGTGCTCCAATTGCTGCTAGGGGTATGCAGGGAACAAGTTTTCTTAACATCTAGTGAGTCCATCAGTATGAGTGGGCTGTAGCTCTCCTGAAGTCCCCAGCCTCCTTCAAGACTTCACCTCCAAGTTGTGCTTGTCTAGGAAGGAAGGATGGAAGGTGAGCTGCGAAGGAAGCTGGAAAGACTATTTAAAAATTACACATAAGGGGGCACCTGGATTTGAACCAGGGACCTCTTGATCTGCAGTCAAATGCTCTACCCCTGAGCTATACCCCCTCAGATATTAATGTAGCCTAATTGATGCCTTTCATCTGAGTGGTAACACTGGGCTCTGCAAAATTAAGTACTGCTCCCTTCTAGGACTGACTTTATGAAGCTGCCAGACCAGCTCATAATAAGACACCTTCCCTCAGTTCTGCAGCTTCTAAGCCTCAGTTCCTGGGTGGGGTCATCAGAGAGGAAAAAATGAGAGAAGCTGCCTGTAGAAACCCCAAAACATTTCCCATTGCTTTTTTTGTTTTAGCCCAAGAGCAGCCCAACCATCTCCAAAACTACCCACCTATCTGGACTCCCAGTCCTTCACCTTTCTTCCTCCAGGGAGGACAGAAATGGGCTCTAATTCAGACAGTGTCACGGAGCTCCAATACTTGGTTGTGGAGGAGCAACACTGCAGAATCTAGGTTTCCCTTGTTGGAGTTGCTAAGCCGGCCTTTTGGCCATTGAGGCTGAAGCAAGTGTATGAGTGAGTTCTGGTGTGGAGAAACCAGCTCCCCAGAGGGCAATGTCAACCCTACGAGAAGAACCTGGATGCTATGATTTGTCTCCATAGGTCTGACCACCACTCCACTGTGCCAAGCTGTTTCGGTGGGAAGGTGAGATAACAATTTAGGTTGCCCATTTACTGTTTGTTCCTACAAAAGCTGCTGTATCTGCAGCTCTCTTCTGCTGCCCTGGAAAAGCCCAGCAAAATTCTGCAGAAGAGTCCCTGCCTTCTCTTTGAGGACCCAAAAGAGTTGGACAAATGAGATATATAAAGAGGGGGAAACACCGGATATCAGAAAGCAGTTGTGCAAGGGCTAATTTCAGGAAGGATCTAATTGGAAGAATTCTAATTTCAGGAAGGATCATAATTGGCAGGGCTGAAAGGAAACGGGAATATGAGCAACAGCTATGAATAGGAAAACCAAAGGAGTAGGGGGCACCCGGATTTGAACCGGGGACCTCTTGATCTGCAGTCAAATGCTCTACCCCTGAGCTATACCCCCTTACCTGTTATGCATCTATAATTAAATACCTTTTCACCTGTGTTGCAACACCCACATCTATGCACTGACATTTCTATTAATTCTTGGAAAGTTCTGGAGATGTGAAAAATTTGCCTTACAGCAAAATTAGCCAGTACCTTTTAGCCCCCAGAAAACTTCTCTGCTTACAATCTTTCAATCTCATCTTTCTTAGTACCACTTTAAAGGCACCTGTTTGGAAATTCGTTGCTTAGAGATGAACCATCCTTCCTTCCGCTCTTGGTAAACTCGGTCTACTTTAAACTTGCCTGCAGCACGCTCTCCCTGCCCCTCTCTCCTCCCCTACACCACAGGTGGGATTGGGAGTTTTGTGGCCCATCTCCTTCTTTGCTCTTTTTTCTTCTCACTACATCTACTTCTTGGCTTTTGACAGTGTCTTCAATGAATCCAGGAAGCCCCAGCAAATTATTATTATTTTTATTATTATTTGATCCTTACCCAAGGATATGTTTTATTAATTTTAGAGGGAGAGAAATATCAATGTGAGAAAGAAACATCAATCAATTGCCTCCTGCACATGGCCCAACCAGGACTGAACCCGCAACCTAGGTATGTGCCCTGACGGAACTGACCCCGCAACCTTTTTGGTGTATGGGGACGACACTCCAACCAACTGAGCCATCCGGTCAGGGCCCAGACAAATTATTTGAGTAATTTGGCCCAAGAGGCCACAACCCCCGTCCTGGAGCCCAGGAAGCTACCCAGCTGTCCCAAGAGACCTCATACCAGAAGGTCAGCACTGCTGAAGCAGCAGGGGCTGTGGAGGATCCAAGACCAGAGATGTCTCTGCTAGACGAACGCTGCTCTGAGGCGCAGCAGTGCGGACCTAGAAAGTGAACAAGCCCTTGCCAACTGGCAGGAACATGGGAGGCATCAGTGAAATAAAAAGGCCACATAGACCCCAAAGGGTAGAGAAAAGATACCTGCCCAAAGGGGCACAGGAGGCCTACGTCCTACCAACCCTGTCCCTCAGTGGTTCCAGTGCAGCCACCAGGTACTTGGCTGAGGACCTACGGAAGTGGTAGCTAAGCAGAGTGGTAGTTTTCTATCAGCTTTTCCACCAGCCCCTTCATGGTCCCACACCAGTGCTGAGATGGAGATTCCCAGATTCCCCTGTGTCTCTGACTTCACCACCTTGCCATGCTTGGGGAAGGCTCCTCAGTGACTGTTCTCTGGACTCTTACTTCTCCCAGCTCACCCCACAATTGTGCAAGGTCTTATTTCTGTTAATAATTCCCTCTATTCAATAACACTTGGTGATAGGCTGCTCTGACCGACACATCTCACTGGGTCCATTTAATTTTTCATTCGTGTATGAAATACACAAAAATTTACAATCATAGGTGTTCAGCCTTGTGAATACTAGAAAATAGAACACCTGTGTAACCCCACATCCCGATCAAGAAATGGAACATTACTCAGAGGTGGATGGGAAATGAGATAAGCGATGGAGTTGGGAATGTCTCTTCTCTGTGCGTACACATTTCTATAGCCTCAACCTTTGAATCATTTTAATGTTTTACATTTCCAACAATAAAGCAACAAGTAGGAGGAGGTAAACATAAAAATAAATACAAACAAAAACCCTAACATTGATAATATGACCACAAAGAAGAAAACACAGTGGTGTACATTCTAAGGGGGGAAAGGGAGATTGTGTTACAATGAGAGATGGAACTTGAGTTAATAAGTTGTTTTGGTATAACTTACAAAAACTATTTTTGTGCAAGTGAGTACATATATTGATATTTTGGGGAACCAGGATTCTGACTGAGTCCGGAAATGTAAATAAGGGATGGAGAAAGGCAAGGGAAAACTGGAGTTAGACTGGAATTGTAAGTAGCTGTATGAATACACACGCACACACACACACACAGTTCCTAATTCTGTCCTCTGAAAGGGGCTAGAAGTAACAACTCAGTTGCAGTGAGCACTCCTAATGTCTGAATTGTGGTTACTAAATGCCATTAAAAGGAACCAAGAACTCTTAGAGAAATGGCTGATTCCAGGGCTGGGCAAGAAACCTAAAAGATTAACAATGAAACATCCTGTGCCAGAAAGTTAAAAAGTGCTCAAGATCTGGTGGGGACATGCCAACTGAACACTGGGCCAGCCTGGAGACGCTCACCACTCGCTAACTTTGGGACA